TTGTCTTTCTTCTACTAAATCAGTATACAAAATGTTAACACTAATTTTATACCTCCAAATGTCCATTCAGAGAAGACCCATTCATCTTGTCTGCAACCGGCCCCGCTGGCCTTTTGATGTAACTCTTGAGAAGCATCAACTACCACGATGTAGAACGCCTTCCGAGTCAGGTAAATCTGATGGCAGGCGTAGTAAATACTTTGTCCTCCAAAGTCAAAAACAGTCAACCGTTTGGCATTTAAGTCTCCTTTGATATAAGTGCTTTCTTTTTCTTTATCTCCATTGTTGACTGTTGCTGTAAAATTAAATTAAAAGTAATGAGTAAAAACAAAAAGATAAACAAACATGCATATTATATGCTTCAAAGGCTGCTCGTGAGGTTTGAATTACTACTTCCATTGATAAGTGAATTGAAAATTTGTCAGAAAGGCACAAACAAATTAATGAATTTTATTTCAGGTCCTACCCTTGAAAAATTCTCCAGAAATTTCGAGTATATCTTCATGAATTTCTAGCCCTTCCGTCGTCGTTACATGCAGAATATTGTCCTCACTGTGTTTGAGAAGTCGCTTCAGTAGCGTGGTCTTGCCGGCTCCAGCGCATCCCACAAGCATACATCTTGAGTGATGCACTGTATGTGTTTCTTTTCTAGCGTATTCAACGTATTGCTCTCTTACTTTCTGGTGCCAATTTAATATTTCTAATGGAACGTTCACTGCTCAATCAAATAATTTCATTGAAATCAATAACTTAAAAGAAAATTAATTTAGATTATCTTTTGACATTGTAATTATTTATTATATCATTTCAGATGTATAGTGAGCTCAAGCCGCATGTTAAGTCGCATCCATAATTAGGCACTGGATATGTTTGGCTTTACACATTTCATTTAATTCAGTGCATGCATAGAATATATGGGGATAACTGAGTATTTATTGTATGTTTCGTCTATTTAGTTTGTTATTTTTATTAATCTGTATACGTGTAATCTATTAATAAATCAATTTTGTTTCATATTGATCCAGGTCTATCAGTATTCAGTGTATATATCGGTTTAAAATCATGAAAATATTTCTTGTTAAAATACGTTCATTTATGAATTCTATTCAATAAAAATAGACAAACTATGAATTAATTTCATTCTTTAAGAATAGGCCATACTTACATTTTTTAGCGACACTGTTCTGAAAAGTCCAATCTGATAGTGTGCAATGTTTTATGATATCAAGATCTAGTTTTTCTATAAGACGGTCATACATGTCAGTTGGCACATACAGACATCTCTCTCCGTCTTTCCTTTTATAATTCCAGGACCTGCAATACTCGAATATTACGTTTTTTGGTGCTTCAGTCAGGAAAAACTCCAAATCATCGTCTTCTATAAGACATTCAGTAACAAATGCATACATTACTTTGTGACGAATGTCAGCTGAGATGAAAGTTAATTCACCATTCTTGTTTTTAACGATTGGTTTTGGCATTTTACAGTTGTCTCTAGGTAATGAATGCTTAGGGAAAAAAGCATCTCTGATTTTCGTCAATATACGTTTAGATGTGTCGTGATTAAGTTTAATTTTATATTCTTCAGCAAACAGCAAGGAGTATATCAAACATCTTTCCATCGATGAAAAATCATGATAGACACCTAAAGTATGTATTAATAAGATGTATTGTGAATTTGGAAAATTGGCGTGATTTTTCAAATATGGTATGCCTTAACGAACAAAGTGTCTTAAGTCTCAGCATGATTCTTTAAACTTGAATAAATTAATGAAACATTGAGATTTATGAAATTGTGTAAAATTAAAATAATTACAAGCATAAATTTAGTATATTATATACCCCACCCCCCAATATTTGTAATCTTGGAAATATGTTTATAATTTATATAAAATACTGAAAGGTAAAGGAAATGCAGGATAACATCATTTGTTACATATTTTTGACTGAGTGGCCTAAAATTATAAAAATTAGTCGGATATTTAACCTGTCTGGTGTTCATAAAAATCGGTGTTCAAAACTACTCTCCGTAAATAATATGACATCACGAAGGGAAAGTGAGAAAAAGCTAAACACACATATATCACCGGGGAAAATAAGTGTCAAACTTTCCGGCAACAATGAAACATAAAAATGCTAAGGATGGAATGGCACTTTATTATAAACTAAGGTCGGTAGGGTGAATTCTGGAAATCCAAAAATCTCACACGACTCAGCTTTGTTAAGGACCAATATGGAAAATGTGACCTTTGCACCGTTTTAATATGTATTGCTTCTTTTAAAAAATTTTAACAAAGCAACTGAATACTTGTAGAAAATGTAACATAGCTATCAATAATGGATAGAACTGGGCCGTAGTTATTACCGATTATATCGAACGTTTCAGCTGTTTGTTACGTGACTAGTATAAAACTGGAATTGTTAAGCTGAATGTAGGAAATAGGGATAGTGTAAGGGCATACGCTTGTTTTTCAAGAAAAAAAAATGATACACATTAAAAGAGGTTTATATCCTCTACCCCAAAAGTGCTGGGAGCTAGTCAGTGCTGTTTGCGAAGTACTTAAAATTTTGCCGAAAATGCTTATAATAGCTAGAAATTTCCACTTCCCTTAAATTTTGCCATAAATAAAATTAATGTTATGCTGACCAGGATCAGCTCCCAGAACTTTTCAAAATATACACTTTATGAGCAATAAATATTCCAAATTTCAGCTCAAACAAAATAGTCTATGCCCTTGCACTTTTGATGTAAATCACGAATACGCTCATTGTTTTAGCGATATTCTCTATATTCCTTATCCCTGTGCAGCTTCAATGCTACTAGATAAATTCATATTCTATACCCATTGTATTTAATAAATTATTTTCTTGGGGTTTTAATGATTAGGTCTAAAAATTAGCAATGGTATCATATTTATTTAAGCATTCTTGTAATTATTAAACCAGTGAATCTACTCCTCTGGATCACTTGTGCTGCGTCATGTCAAGACTGATGACGTCATATTTGACAAAAAGCTTTCTTGCAATTTTACAAGATTTTATGAATAATCGATAAAAATATATAAATTCAAGTAACTGTTGTTATTTACACAAGATCATCTCGTCAATTAATTTTTGTTGCTTGTTAAATTTCAATGACGTCACAATTAAACTTCCAATACGATGTATAAGGAATGTGAAATCTGACCTTCCTTAACATAGCCGAGGAACAATCCGAAGCCTAGGAGTTAACTGATGAACAATGATTCATGTTACATATATAAGTAATAAAATATAACAATGGCAATTAGCACAGTTCTGAGCATGAGTGATATATGGCTTAGATTGAATAACTAATGACATGTTGAGTAAAGTGATTAATAAATAATGTCCAGATTCGGAGTTACATAGTAATCAGCATAATTAAAGTTTTTCAAGTTGTTTAAAGTAAATACAGTAAATTAAGAGTATATTTTAAAGTCAGCTGAAACATGTCATTAAAATTGTTTTATCAAATATCACACCGTGATAATTCCCTCCCGCTGTAACGCAGTTAGTTGGGTGGTATGGCCTGTTGATTTGAATAAATTGCAAATATCTTCTGAACTTAGGTCTTGGAATGGTAATGATTTTACTAACTGCAACCTATCGTAATAATTCTTTATTCTTCTTGAATCCCTGCGCCGTTTGCTTACGGACTTGGTCTGCAGACAAAGTTTGCTCTTCGTTTGCGTTTCCGCAACAGCAACACTCATCAGACTAGATTTAGAAGCAGTCCGCGAAAAACACACACCTGCAGTAGAATCACATGTTGCCGACTTTTTGTCAGACGATCCTACAGTCGGGTTCAAGCAGGCCCGTCCTGACCCCTTGGCTTGATCCTTTTTGATCGTTGAGTGATCGATGGACGCCACTGGAAATGATTTCCTTTGGGAGGAACGGTAAGGTGTGGTTGCAGAAGAGAAACATACTTGCGCAAAGTGACCATGTTTTCCGCACACGAAACACTCGGAACGTGTAGCTGGACACGTAAAAAGGTGGCCGTGGAAGAATTGTTTCCCGCACCTATAGCACCGTGGAATGGATCCTGGTGTCGAGAAAATTCGTGCTGGTCCTGGTGTGATCCAAGGACGCGAAAGACAATGGCGCTGGTTAGATGTTGGGGGGGGGGGAGCGGTAAAGTCCTTTTCTCCAGGTTGGCATGGTGTTGTTGAAGATAGGTCTTCTTGGGGGAACTCGCTTAGTTAATGGTACTCGGGATCAAACTGCTACAAAATATATACAGCAGTCCCGGGTGTAATACCCTTAGGATATCTCCACCAAATTATCATCGGGGAAAATAGGTGCCAAACTTTCCGGCAACAATAAAACATAAAAATGCTAACGATAGAATAGCACTTTATTATAAACTTAGGTCGGTAGGATGAATTCTGGAGATCCAAAAATTGCACCCAAACAATCCGAACCTAGGAGTTAACTGATGAACAATGATTCATGTAACATATATAAGTAATAAAATATAACAATGGCAATTAGCACAGTTCTGAGCATCAGTGACATATCGCTAAGATGAAATAACTCATGACATGTTGAGTAAAGTGATTAATAATTAATGTTCAGATTCGGAGTTACATAGTAATAAGCATAATTAAAGTTTTTCAAGTTTTTTTTAAAGTAAATACAGTAAATTATGAGTATATTTAAAGTCAGCTGAAACATGTCATTAAAATTATTTTATAAAATTATCACTGAGCAAAATTAACATTTTTGAATTAAAATAACTTTTTAATATTCTATATCAAATTTGGACGTTTATCTGTGAAATTCTTCACCTGTTTTTAATATGTGCTTATTTGTAGTTAACTGTGTCTTATTTATCTCATTCCCTTTGAAATAGGATTAAGACATTTCAATTGACACTCTGTGACTCTGTCAAAATAACTGTTGCTCGTTAGGTGTTAATGCCTCGGGATTCGTTTATCCTCTACCAATAACTTTATTTGTACAATTTCTTTATAACCTCTTTCATGACCACTTTATTAAAGAAACACAGCTGTCCATCAATTAAATCAACTGTCAAAAATCAATCATTGTTTACTCTTAATCTTACAAATATCTATATCCATTATTATCTCTTCAGTTTGGAGGTCCGACGCTCTACCGGCCACATCCAACTCGATTAAGTCTCGTAAGATATTGTTAAAATTCATGTTTGTTATTCACCATCATCTTTAATAAATTTGGAAACCTGATTTACCAATTCTTGGACTTTATATTGGAAGACCATAAGGAATACGGCACCTTTACCCTTAATGTTTTATTATGGCCCCACAGCGCCACTACGATACTATACCCGCCAACATTCTTTCTTCCCCGTTTACCCTAAACAGCGGATTTAGTCCAGGAATCAGTATTCATATCTTATGACCAAATCTAACTGGTTATAATTACAAGTAAAGGCCTTAACTTTTTACAATTGGCGGTGGTAGCACTTTACCACACATGACGACCGGAAAAGTTTACCTTCGCACTAGCTCTAGCACAATTGAGTTGCATACGTTTAAATGATTGAATGAAGTCTCCTCTAAACAACCGACATGCACACTGTTCAGAAGCGACCAAATCACGCCCAGGAACACGTTAAGACAGTACGGTTGTCAGAAACCTTGAAAGTTGAGCAATGAAAAATAGCTCACCACCATGAAAATATACAGATGAGGTTATGATAATATCCATCCGTTGTCATTCAAAACTTATAAGAATATATAAATAATGCCTAAACTACGACTTTTTGACCAATTCCGAGATTTAATTTAAATTTTGGGAAACAGATACAACATTCAGTATTCAATACAAAAATTAACGTGTTTGATATTCAGAATGCAATTTGATTGGCAATTACATGCTCCTGTGTGAAGTCATTACCGTCAGCTTGAAAAGTATATGTCTCTTATGTTTAATTATTAAATTGGCAAATTTAGCTTAAAACACAATTTTCAAGCAAAAAGTCCGTTGTCAGCACAGGTTATGTTTATCTGTACGGTGTCATTTTTTTAACACGTAAATTTATCAATGAAATACAGAAACAAGTAAAATTAATGCAAAGCATAAAAAAATTCAGCCTTTTAAAAAGTACTATCACAATTTTAAACGCATCGGTGCAAGGAAAGCACAAAATATTTAAAGCTGAAATAGTGACCATTTTTATTTCATGCTTTAAAGCAAAATAAACAAGAGAATTTTGTAAAACACTTATGCCCCCCCTCCCCAAAATCAAGTAGAATTTTTACAAGTCAAAGGGGCATAACTTTGTCAAAAATTGCGCGATCGTACCCAAAACAGAACATGACCTAGATACATGTATGTATCTGATAATCTATATAGTAAATTTCATTTCAGTATGTGCAATCTCTGCACAGAAAATGAATAGAAACAGTAAATAATTGGATTTGTTCTAATTAAAGGGACATAACTCTGTCAAAAATGGCACGACCGTAACGAAAACCAAATTTGGGTTAGATATTCTCATGATAAATCTGTATACAAAATTTCATTATGTGTAACTGCTGCGCAGAAAATGAACGAATACTTGGTGGACCAACAAACAGACCGACCGACCGAAAGACAGCAGCAGAGGAAATTGCCCTACGTTCTTGAAAGGAGGCATTATAAATAAATATTTTAAAAAGTAAAATATAAATTGTATGCCTTTGTTCATTAAATGGATTCATCCATATAATAAAGTCAATGATTAATTATAAAGAAATTATTATTATTAAAATGCACACATCACACTGAAGATGTAGGCCTCTCAATACGAACCAAATGGTGATACCCTGGGTATTTGTCACAGGATAATGCCTATAGTTTCTACAGAGTTCGATATGCTGCAAGGCGAAGTGCAAAATTTAAAATGATTATTATATTTAACTTCAATTTAGTGTGCAGTTTTTCATTACGTCACGATCTTTTCGATAGCTGCATCCAGCGTAAACAATTCACGTGATTGGTCAACTCATATTAACAACATTTACACGGAATTAGTCTGTTTCACGAGCAATTAATCAGAAATTAGAAGAAAATTCCAGTCGTAAGTCTTAGGACGTTTGCACTATTTATCTTTAACGCAGCTCTCATCATATGTACGAAAATTCCTTAAATATATTTAGTATAACTAATACAAAATATTTGATATACATGAACTTTAATGAAACAGAAGTTTTTTTTAAAATACGTATTAAAACTATTGACAAACAAGTTGCTGAAACAAGAATTTCAAAAGTCTTGTTTCATAAAAGTCATATTTCAAAAGTTCTTTGGTCGAAAAAAGGATCTTGGGTTTTTCATACTAATTGTTAGGCCACTTTATAAACGCTGTATCATGTGCATTGTCGACAGATTTTTTCCCATTATTTTCCGATCATGACGAAGAACATAAGTTGGGTGTATACGGTCGGCAGAGGATGCTCACTCCAAAAAGAATTTTATGCATGGGAAAATAAATTCAAAATGAACAAAAATAATATTCATTAACCACTTTTCCATAAAATCTTTGAATATTTCTCCATCTTCAAATTCCTTTACTTTGCATTGAAGATAGTTATGAAATAAAGAATTCTTTTAGTTCCTTAATATAACTGGTTGGTTCGTCCATGTATTGAAATCATTTTGAAATCTATCAATACATAAAAAATCTAAGATCAACACATTTCATAGTGTATACATACAGTACAAAAGCAACAACGTACCGATGACAACGGACTGATTTTTCGCCTTTTCATAACTAAGGAAATAAATTTTAATGAATCAAATTTTTGATTTGCTTTATTTTTTCATGTAATGGCCGATATGTCTTGATTCTGACTGCACCATTTGGCATAAATATAATATTCGATTTACAAAAAATATAGCCTTTCAGAGGGAAAATGAATGAAATCCACGTTTGATTTCATCAGGTTTTAATATCGCCAATGCAAACTCTTCTTTTATTTATCCCTGTTGAGGATCTGCTGGGCTAGCTATAGATATTTGGCCTGACGTCGTCGCTGAATCCCTGGACAATCACTCATAATTCATGTCTGGAGACATCGGTCGACTATATAGCAAGAATTATTCACCTAGGCCACACTGCTGTTCGCTTCAATTAATCCATTTAGTTGTTTATTTGACTCTCTGTCATTATTATTTCTACAAGCTACATGTAACCGTTTAGGCATAATATGCATAATAATATATATGATTCTGAATCAAATCTACTGTGGCTATTAAACATCACATTGGGTAAAAACAGACTATAGGAACTCTTTTATTCGAGGAGGTAAACAATTTTGTCACGGGAGGCATGTTTCGAACGGAGATTTCAGTCTTTTATATCTTATTTTTAAGGCTAAATTTCATACAACACCAAAAGGGATGTCCATCCTGTTCCCCAATGCAATTTCAGTCATTAGTTTAAATGATTTAACTTAAAAAATGAAAATCTGCTCACGGCATGTCTTCTCAAATAATGACACCGGGCGGATTTTGTCATAACCTCACATGTTAATTCACGAGTCATTTTAAGTGCTTAACGTTAAACGTTTCTGACAATTATCATAAGTATCGAGTACATCACTGAAAAGTAATTTAAACCCAAGCTGATCATCATAACTGTATCAAAACATATCAATCTAATGTGCCAATTATTAACACAGGTAAGGTTACTGCGTGCGTTCAGCCGTAACTAATCGCCTCATTATCGTACTCAAGGTGTCAGACAGTGTAAACAAAGGATTCACCACTGGAGTTTAACCAGCCATGTAATTATGTCGGATATCGCAGGTAACTGCAATGCAATTAATAAGCTGTGTTTACAAAGAGGTGTCGGAATCTGGAATGGACAGTGGTCGGATTGTAAAGTATTATATAAAGATTTTTTGGGGAATAAAGATCTGCGTCGGAAGTGCCAGTTTGCCATATTGCACAGTTGTCGGATTGGACAGTGGGCACTGTATAGAAATAGTTCGCGAATTTTTATATCCCCCCTCGTACATGTGCTTCTCAGCAGCAATTAGTAAACGATATTATTAATTCAATTGATAAAGTTAATTGTAGTGATTACAAGAGACGGACTATATGCTTGTTATAGAGGTGTAGTATAATTTCACATCAACTGGTTTTAACAATGAAATTTGAAGAAGACTGATTAAAACGATACAAAGTTTAATACTTCTGACGTAGCGCTAGTTGTTAAAAGTCCTTTACTTTTATGACATTCTGAATTTTTTTCTATGTTCTGAGGGACAACAACAAAGATTCTTGAAAATTTAACCTTTTAAGGTCACCTGAGGCACTACAGTGATTTATTGCTATCCGTTTTAGTCCGCCGTCGTGCGTCGTGTGTCGTGTGCCGTGCGTCGTATACTAACATTTGAACATTTCCAGCTTCTTCTCTGAAATCACGGAACTAATTTCAACCAAATTTGGTATACAGCATTTATGGGTGAAGGGGAATATAAATTGTGAATTTCATGGTCCCCGCCCCCCTTGGGACTGTGGGGTGGGGCCAAAACCACTAAAATTTATGGAATCTTTAAAAATCTTTTTCTTTACTCCTGGACATCAAGCGGTAAAACTGTTAATATGAATGTAATGAGCATTGAGTCCTCTACCAAAATTGTGAAATGCATGGCCCCGGGGTCTAGGGTGGGGTTTAATAGGTTATAAAATGAAAATGCATTATTTCTTTGAAAATCATCTTCTCTGCTCCTGGGTATTATATGAACTTACTAAATACATAGTTACATAGTGATGAAAAAGAGTGGCTCTACAAAAAATTGTGAATTTCATGGCCCTAGGGTCAGGGGTTCTAGTGTTAGGGCAGGGCTCTATTGATCATGTAGTGAAAATTCATCATTTATCTTCTCTTCTGCTCCTGGGTGTAAAATAAACTAACTAAGTACATAGTTATGATGAGCAAGTGTGGCTCTACCAAAATTTAGAATTTTATGTCCTAGGGTCAGGGGTTCTGGTGTAAAGGGCCTTTCACAATTGGCTCACGAGCACTATTTTTATATTTTAAAAAAGCATTATTTCTTTGAAAGTCTCTCTGCCCCTAGGTATAAAATAAATAACTAAGTACATAGTTATGATGAACAGAAGTGCCTCTTCCAAACTTGTGAATTTTATGGCCCTTGGCTCAGGGGTTATTGTGTAAGGGCGGGCTCTATTTATCATATAGTGAAAATGCATTAATTCTTTGAAAATCTTCTCTTCTGCTCCAGTGTATTACATAAACTAAGTACATACTTATGATGAGCAAGGTTTTTTTCCAAAATTTAGAATTTTATGCCCTAGGATCAGGGGTTCTGGTGTAAAGGGCCTTACGCAATTGGCTCTCGAGCACTTTACAACACTTTGCGATCGGAAAATTTGAGCTTCGCACGACCTCTCGCATACGTTGCGCGATGTCTCGCATTCGTTGCATGTGTTTTAGAGGTCGCATCAAGTCTCTTCAAAATAGTCAACATGCACACTATTCAGACGCGACCAAATCCGATCCAAATTATCGCTATTCAATGCAGGAAAATTAGTATGAACGTCTTACAACGTTTTATGTACTCGTAACAGTGATGTACGATTTTTAAAGATCGTGAGATGAATCGCAGTTGTCTTTACGTGTGTTTTGCGACCATGAGACTGTTGCTAAACATCTCTCATGTAATCTTGCTACGTGTTACCATCCATTGCTTTATTTATCACTTTCAATTGTCATTCTTTGCAACAGGAATATACTGTAAATCACTTTTTATTCGCGAGAACTTTATTTTCGCGCAATTACGCGAGACAATGAGATCGCTAAAATTTCATTCACGCGTATAAAAGTATTCCATAACATAATATAGAAGAAAAAACAAGAATTCATGAAAATTATGTCTCGCTAATAAAAAGTCAATGACTAACTCGCGTAAATAAGGTGTCGCGAAAATTGTGTGATCAAAAGTTCACCGTGTATAGTTATAGGCATCTTAATTTTGTCAACTGAAGAGCTTCGGAAACGGGTGGTATATATATTCGGCCGTCTGACTCGCTTTCATTCTACAACAGTCGCATATAGACACAAGATATATCGCAAGATCAAATGCACAACAGTCGCTTTAGATCTTGCGAATTTCGTACGAACACTTTTTTCATATGCGATTATTTTGGCAACAGCTTACGATCCTTAACAAAATATTCGGTCGCAGGAATATTTTGTCGCTTCCTCGTGCGCCAATTGTGAAAGGGCCTTAAGGGAGTGGTTCTATTGATTATATAGTGAAAATTCATTTATTCTTTTAAAACCTTCTTCCCTGCTCCTGGGTATTAAATAAATTAAGTGCATAGTTATGATGAGTAAAAGTGCCTCTTTCAAATATGGCCCCAGGGTCAGGGGTTCTGGTGTTAGGGTGGAGCCCTTTTGTTCAGTAGAAAAAATGCATCAATTCTTTGAAAATCCTTTCGAAATTGTGAATTGCATGGCTTCTGGTTTAAAATATGAACCAAATTCAATTGTTCAAAAGTTGTTACATGATACTCAGGTGACCTATAAGGCCCGTGGGCCTCTTGTCTTTTATTAATGTCGTTAGTGATTTTAGTATAATTATATACTTACTGTGTTCTCTATATGCTTGAGTGTTGATGATATATATATCAGAATGGTGATGTAGACCAATACAAGATCTTACAGTCTTTAGTCTATAATATTTCTTTAGCCATTTGACGTGTTGAGATTTGTGATGTGTTCTAGATCTGTCATATATTTTCTCGCCACACTGTTGTAAATTCCTCACAAATTCTTCTCGCCTAACTTTACTCTCTTTTATTATGTTTCCTGGGACGTGTACTAAAGAAACACAATGGTAACATTCAAGAAAAATTGTATTCACTGAACCACAGTAAAGCCAGTTTTGATATCTTACACAATAATAAATGAGAATTTATGTACTTTCAAAGGAACATATGTTGCATATGCATTAACACTCCTTGTTTTTGAAGAATATTCATTACATTGTTAAAAATTTTATACACTTACATATCTGAGATATTTCGTTGCACATATCCGTATCCTTTATGGTCTTATGAGTCAGTATATCCAACTGAAGACGATGTATAAGACATGAATCAAAATTTTGGTTTTTATTAAGGACACACTTCTCTTCCGGTTCCTTTTCATAGCTACTTAATCTAAGGAACATGTGGATTGTATGATAGTTACACAGGTAAATTGCTGAAAATTTGAATTCCCATATAAGTCGATATAAAATTTCATCTGTGGCGTCCCTAGTAATGTTCTGAAAGTCTTTTTCAAAGAAATTAGGTTCTGCTCTTTTCAAATCGTCTAGAGATTTCTGTGCCTGTTCTCTTTTGATTACTTCTAGATGCATGTGTGCTTTAGCTCGTATTTCATTCAGGATATCTAAGCATTCTTGCTTGGTAAAGTCTGGGGTACCAGACTCGCAACACAGAAAGCAAAATAGCATGCATATTTGATCACAGCCCATGGGGATAAACGAACCTAGGAAAAGAAGAAAAACATTTATATAATTAGTTTGTGAAATTTGTGAATCATTCTTTTGGATTCTGAGTCAAATTGTAGGGCAATATTGAAAACAAACACGTTGTCCATGGCCCACATTGCTCAATTTAGCACATTCGCTGAAATAACGGCGCCTAGTTGTTCTTGAGCAAAATATTTAAAGAAAAAAATCCTTATGTATTTCTTTGTCTTCGTTTGTAAGGCTCATTATATAAATTGCATTCTAGAAGAACTTGGATTAAATTCTACAAGTGGTAATCCTACTTATACATATACTTCTCTTTCTAAGGAAGAAATTCTTCAAAATCACCTGTCAGTTTTGAATACTTTTAATATTCCACAGAGCCAAAATGAATTTGAACTACCTTATATATATTGGATTCAGAAACTTCATAAGAATCCTTATAAACAAAGATACATTGCGGGTTCCAGTAACTGTTCAACTTAGCCTCTTTTTTTACTCCTCACTAAAATATTGACAGTAGTGAAGGAAAAACTTCAAGAGTACTGTACAACTATATATTCAAGAAGTGGTGTAAATCAGATGTGGATACTTAAAAATTCTAAAGAACTTTTGGACAATTTGAAATCACAAGACTTTACAAAAATCAACAGCATAAAAATTTACGACTTTTCAACTTTATACACAACAATTCCCCACGACAAATTAAAATCCAGGCTTTTTGATATCATTGACAGCTGCTTCTTCAACAAAAATGAAACTCGTTAGTTTACTTACCTCGTCATTGGTCTTTTGAAAAATTATTTTGTTAAAACCGATTCTGATTGCACACATAAGTACTCTGAAGTTGACATCAAGAAGATGCTTGAGTTTCTGATTGACAATATCTATGTGGTTTTTGGAGACCAGGTATTCCAGCAATCTATTGGAATTCCCATGGGTACCAATTGCGCTCCGTTATTAGCAGACTTATTTTTATATTCATATGAAGCAGAATTTATGCAAAATCTTTTACGCGAAAAGAAGAAAACACTTGCTGTGGCCTTCAACTCGACATTTAGATATATCGACGACGTATTGTCAATTAATAATGATAATTTCCATTCCTACGTCGACACGATATATCCTGGTGAGCTTGAGATAAAAGATACCACAGAGTCCGACACTTCTGCCTCATACTTGGATATTTTACTTGAAAAAGACACTAATGGTAATCTAACAACCAAGCTATATGATAAACGTGATGACTTTAACTTTTCTATCGTCAACTTCCCTTACTTATGCAGCAATATACCTTCATCACCTGCATACGGAGTATTTATATCTCAGTTGATTCGATACGCAAGAGCATGCTCTACGTATGAACAGTTTCTTAAACGAGGGAAATTATTGACAAGCAAGTTGATGAAACAAGAATATCAACAGTCTCGTTTAAAGTCATCATTTCGTAAATTCTATGGTCGATACAATGACCTTGTCAGCAAATACAATTTATCATTGAATGAAATGCTGACTGACGTTTTTCATACCAATTGTTAGTCCATTATTTATACACTGAATTGACCACGGATTTTTTCAGTTATTTCCTGATTATGACAACGAGCACACGGCGGGTGTGACCGGTCGGCAGGTGATGCTCACTCCTCCATGGCACCTGATCCCACCTCTGATGTTTCGGAGGTCCGTGTTTGCTCTGCTCTTATTTTGTATATTTGTTTAATGGACGTTGAGATTGAATACTGTTTGTTATTTCCATATCCTTCTTTGGAAACATTTGATCCACATTTTGGCTCTTCTCTATTCCCAAGGGTCATGATTTGAAAAATATCTTTAAATCTACACTTATTAGCTAGCTTAGGATGCATCCATACCAATATGACGAAATATGACTTTCACTGTTCTTGAAAATATTAAAATCGATTCCAAACAGGTGGTAAAATTTCTCTTCTAGATGAAAAGTTTTATGCCTGTCAGACAAATTCTACGCCTATTAATGAACAATAACATTGCAAAAGATAATACCCATCGGTATAATAGAAATTTTGTTCACCAATCGGAACGTGTTCGATATACATACAGGCGCCTGAAATACTTTTTCATACTTGTATATGCCCATGTAAAAGACCTTTCACAAAGACATGAAAATTCACAAGTTTTCAAGAGTAAATAAAATATTTGATAATATGTATGTTAGTGTAGTCTACTTGTGTGCCAAGTAATATTGAAATCAGACCAAAACTGTAGGAGGAATAGCATTTTGAAAAATTGTTTTCAGACGGACGGACAGACAGACAGACAGACGGACGGACGAACTGACGACGGACGCATTACTATTGCATAAGCTCTTCTAGTCTCTGACCAGTAGAGCTAAAAATTACATGTACTCTACCTGTGATGACATCTTTTCAAATACTAGTTTATAATGAAATTTGACCTTGAAGTGTTACCAACTTTTCAAAAAATTCAACATTGCTTTAAATTGACCATAACTTTTGATAGAGAAAGGGTTGCAGTGTTAAACATGTTGCTTATATCATGCCGAGTGTGTCATGGCCTTGAATCAAGGTCATTGAGGATTAGATGTTTTTGCTTGTTGCATTGTCTGAAAGAACATATGTGAATTTGTCAATACGGTAGCACACAAATGGGATATGCTCATCAACAGCATGTGTCATTTTGACAATGTCAAGGTCAAATATACCTTAACTATCTTTTTAATAGTAAAACATTATAAGATGACATTTCCTTTAGAAAATTGCTTTAACATTAGAATGTGGCATGACCTAGACTCAAGGTCATTTCTCCCTGTCCGTACCTCTGACGGAAGACTTACTGGCTGCTTTGCAACGAGCTTGGCTCTAGTTATTATTCTTTTTTGACAAATTTTGAGCAGGCGATTTCTCGAAAACTATTCAGCAGTTTTTGATGAATCTTTCACAAAATATGTGTCAATATATGTTTTTGTTACATCTGGAGAGAATTTTGGAAAACTCGCTTTCAGTTCCAAGTTATTGACAATTTCCTGATTTTAAAATACAATTTTCTCACCCCTTTTTGTCAAAAGTGGCTAAAGCTATCAACTGGAGACTTATTGGAGACAAAAGATCATGACTCTCTGGTTTACAGAATCACCTTTTCGTATGTCGTCAGTACTTCCGGTTGCTACCGGAAGCGTATTTAAAAAATGCTATTTTTAAACTTTTTTGTTTTTCAATATTTTTCTTTGATACTATTAATCTTAATTGAAACCCGTTCGAAATTACGTAATATGTCATTTTTTGAAGCGGCGTCTTCAAAGACCAAATCGTTAGTTCGTTGGATTCTTACGAGAGCGACCCGGGTTCGATCCCCCGTATGTACAATTTATTTAGCACACTTTCTTCCAGATTTTGCTTTAGAATAGGACTGGAGACCCCTGTTCAAATTTTCAGAGCTAGAATGGCGCTAGAGAGGGATCAAAAGTTAGAACGCGGAAAACATACAAAAAATACACATTTTCCTTTATTTCTTGAAAACTAGAAATATTTTGTTAAAACATGTAGAACAAAAGTTGTGTACAATTGTTCAGGCTTTTATATAATACTAATCAAAAGGGTGGCCCCTATGATTAGGGATCTAGGGCCCTTGAAAAATTTTGCTTTATAACTCAAAAACGATAAATAATAACATTAATTGTGAATTATAGTCTTTTTTGTTATGGAAATGTGAATCTTCATTATCAAAGAAAGTTTTATATAAGTAATAATATAAAACTTTCTTTGATAATGAAGATTCACATTTCCATAACAAAAAAGACTATAATTCACAATTTATGCTCAACTGAGCTTTCAGTTCAATATCTGAAGTACAAATTCATTTTACAGCAGGGCAGACGAAGAATGTTTTTATTTATCAGATTTTTAGCTCTACTGGTCAGAAACCAGAAGAGCTTTTGCGATTAATGCGTCCGTCACCCGTCTGTCTGTCTGTCCGTCTGTCTGTAAACAATTTTTCAAAATGCTACTCCTCCTACAGTTTTGGTCTGATTCCAGTATAACTTGGGACACAACTTGACTACACTAAGATACATAAATCTGTGCATCAGTTTTTGTTTTCGATGAACGGTGTTGTCGTGGTTACTAAAAATAAAAATTTCTGTGAAATTCTTTCAAAATGCTACTCCTCCTACAGTTTTGGTCTTACTTCAATATAACTTGGCACACAAGTAGAGTACACTAAGAACATTTTTAGTCTGATTATAGTATAATGTGGCATGCAAGTAGACTACACTAAGAACATAAAAAGACTTAATCAAGGACCATTACTCTATTTATTGCTGTTGAAAAGTTTTAATTCCCAACTGCTTTTAAGTACTTTTCTCTTCCTTTGCTATAATTACAAACCAGTAGAGCTTCCGTCTCGACAGAGACTTCTGGTTTAAAAATTATATTGGTCTTAGAAAGCTAACAGCATACCCGAAACGCCTGTCTCCCAAACACTGTAATCGCCTACAATGGTTGTCAGGAAAGCTAAAGAAGAGAGACACATTTTTTAAATGGTAATTTTGAATAAAGAAATACACGCAATACAACACCCTCGCATCCCCCGCCACACACACACCCTCACACACACCCACACACACACCCACACACACACACACACACACACACACACACACACACACACACACACACATATATATATATATATATATATATATATAGAGAGAGAGAGAGAGAGAGAGAGAGAGAGAGAGAGAGAGAGAGAGAGAGAGAGAGAGATTGAAAAAGACTTATATAAACAGTTCCTATTTTAAAAATCCCCGAACCTTCAGACTCTTTGTAATTTAGAGGATAATAATGCTTTAAAGTATAAGGCCTGGTTCTTGTGTCATTGACTAAAGATGCGTCTCTATCGGTTTGTTGGTTTGAATTCTCTCTTTCCCGTTCCTTGTTGACATCTATCTCTAAGTAAAAAAGATATAATAAAATATTTAAAGTAAGGAAAAAAAACTTTTTTAGATT